CAGGGCCAGCGCCATGGCATAGTGGGTAAAGCTGCTGCCTGCAGTGCCGGCATCTCATATGGGCACCGGTTTGAGTCCCGGCTGCTCCACTTCTGATCCAGCTCTCTGCTATGGCCTGGGAAAACAGTAGAAGATGGCACAAGTCCTTGGGCTCCTGCATCCATGTGGGAGACCCGGAAAAAAACTCCTGGCTCCTGGCTTCAGATTGGTGCAGCTCCGGCTGTTGTTGCCATGAGGAGTGAACCAGTAAATGAAAGACCTCTCTCTCTCTCTGCCTCTGCCTCTCTGTGGCTCTGCCTTTCAAATAAATAAATAAATCTTAAAAATAAATAAATAAATAAACCACAACCACACACATGAATATGGTTAGTTTCACCAGATGAAGCAAAAAATAGTAAGTCAGATAGTCAAACACACAGTATAAGTCCATTTGTGTAAAGTTCAAAAAATTGTTTAAGGGTTTATCCCTCTATGCAAAATCATAAAGAAAAGAGAATATTAAATATTAATTTCAGGGTAGTAGATACCCTGGGAACATGGTAGGGAAGGCATGAGCAGGGTGTAGGAGAATCAGTGCTCCTCCCGTTATTCTCTATCCTTAGATGCCTGACAGATTCACAAGTGTTCACTGTATTATTATGCTTAAAACCCTACTTATATATACATGTAACAGAAAGGGTTGATTTTCTGACTCACACTCATGGAGTAGTATGCGATGGCAGGAGTATCAATTGGTATGATTGTTATTTCTGCACGTCTATTTCTATAGTCCTTTCTCCTCTCCATCCCCTAATCTTCTCTCTCTTCCTATTCAGTGGGTAGAACTTAAATAAGGAATAATGCAGTCCCCAGAAAATTTACCCTCTCCCCCTGCCACCTGCCTTTAAAGGATTCCTGGGAAGTGTCCCAGGAACCAGGAAGCATTGGAGATAAATATGAAAATCTTTAGCCTTAAAAGAATACAAAAACTAGTGGAAGGAGCTAGCACTGTGGCACAGCGAGTTAAGCCGCTGCATGCAATGCCAGCGTCCCGTATCGGAGTGCCTGTTTGAGTCTCAGCTCTTCTGCTTCTAATCCAGCTCCCTGCTAATGCACCCGAGAAAGCAGTGGAAGACGTCCAAGTACTTGGGACCCTGCCACCCTTAAGGGGGACCTGGGTGGAGTTTTGTGCTCCTGGCTTAGGTCTGGAGCACTCCTGGCCATTTAGGGAATTAAACAACAGATGGAAGAGATCTCTCTCTTCCTCTCTCTGTCTCTGTCTCTCTCCCTCTCTCTGTCCTCTCTGCATATCCCTCCTCTGCTGCTCTACCTTTGAAACTAAATAATTTTTTTTAAAAAATGTGGCTACTAAAAATTTAATAGATACCACAGTTAACTGAGATATTCAGAGACTATTGGATTAAAAATGACCAAACTCTGGCTGCTTCATGAAAAGTACACTAGATATGGATGGCAAAATCAGTTTTCATCCAAGCCCTGCCACAAACTGGCTGTTAGAGACTTGATAGCTTTTTAGCTTATGGAAACCCCATATTCTCATCAGCATAACTAAAGGATAGATCACACCAATAGCTCTTGACATTGCGGCTCCCAGAACAGGTGCATCAGTTTTATCTGGTTGAATTGTGAAATGAATTGTGCCTCACAAAAAAGATGCTTAAGTTCTAACTCTCTAAACTTCCTCCTGTGATCTTCCTTGGAAATGGGATCTTTAAACAATGGCAGTCACATTAAACTGAGGTCTTTAGAATAAGTTCTAATCTGGCACAACACTAGTCTTTGTTTAAAAAGAAAATTAGCATGCAGATACAAAGAGAAAACAATGCGAAGACACAGGGAGAAGCTGGTCATGGACAACCAAAGGAACTTCCAAAGCTACCATAACAAGTAAAGAAAGAAGCTTGGAATACATTCTTGTTGATATCTTGAACTTGGACTTCCAGTCTCCAGAAATATGAGAAAATAGACTCCTGTGGTTTAAGCCACCTAGTACTTCATTACAGCTCTCAGGAATACACCTAATGTATTAGTTTTAAAATGCTTTGCCGTTTTTTGCAACTTGTTTCTTCAAAAATCTCTCTTCCTGGGGCCGGCACTGTGGCGC